CCACACTATTGCTAATACAATAGGCAAGGTGGAGAGAATCCCTGTTTGCTAGATCTGATTTAAGTATTAATTTTGCCTTAGGAAAAAACAGAGGATTAAGTGCAGGTCTGTTTCTTCGGGAACTGATTAGTTTGCAAAGACTTTTGTCCCATTTAAGAGGGCAGAGTATTAACATGTTCAGGCATTTGGGGCTTACTCATATATATTTATGAAAATATATATATATATTATGGGAATATATACATATTCCCATAAATTGCTCCAACATCTGTAGTCCTAATTTTTCACCAAAATTTTTAAGAACATAAAGAGTATTATGAGAATCTTCTGTTAGCAGCGCTTTTCAACAAATGCTTTGGACTTATGAGTATGAGTCCACTATTCATAAAACATATTTGCATTATGCTTTCTTTCATCTTCCTTTGAGTTAATAAATTCTAATTGATTAATCAATATTGTGCTCTCTTATAATAATTCCCCCAGTGCATAAGTGGCAATATGCCCAGAAATTGCTCTTGCCTATTTGTGAAGAATATGTATAATTTATTACTTTTCAGAAAAGGGTCAAGACCTACTTGAAATATTCTCTACAAGCATTAGCAGGGCAAAGCTCTCCAGAACAAAATTTCCCTGAAAGGAAACAGATGATCTAACACTGTTCGCGGATTTTTGCAAAAGAAAGGATTCAAACTTTAAGTGCAAGGGTGCAGCACAGCTTTGATGGTACCGGTCCCTTGAGCCATCCTGTGACACTGATGATAGGTTCATCAGGTTTTTTAACTGCTAGCCTATGGGTCATAACAGCCAAACCAAATAACCTGTTGTTAATCAGGCCCAGCAAAGTTTCCTCTTAAAAGGCAAAACCAAAAGAGTAACTTCTCTAAATTGCATTGCAAAAAGGAACTATAGACGCCTGCATTGGCCACTAGATGAGCTGCTGTTGCTGCTATTCCTCCTAGCCATAAAACAGTTGCTAGGCTGAACAGAGACAAATTCTAGTACTAGCAACTTGGGCCTTATCCTCAGTAACGGCCCAAGGCATCTGGTCATCATCTTGTTTTCTCCTTGCTGACTTATACAAAGTGAAAGCGGAAGTGAAAGGGCATGCAGCTTCTGATTCCTCTGCCAGTAACCTCCAGCATCTGGAGCACAGAAGAGAAGGTGTGGTAACATGCTTTGTGCATGCATATAGAGCAAGCAGCCTGGCACATCACGGGAACCCTGGGAGAACAAAAGTAATGTTAGGATTTCTGGCAATGGTGTGGCAGGCAATGGAGAAGAACAAGAAATAATACTGTGGTCTAATAGGAAGAGGTTTTTCTGGGAAGAACAACAGGAAGAAGTGCTTTAGAAGTGGAACAAGTTAATCCAACACAGGTTAGATTAATAGTGTGGGGAGACGAAAATGAACATCTAAATGTGCCTTTCTCTCTTCTAATTCACTCATCTACACAGTTCCGCTCCTAGAATTTCTCTTGATTCTTTCCTGATCTGGTCCTCTAAAAAGTAGCCAAAGTTTTCT